CGTGCTGCCCCTTTTTTGAATCCTGACTGTATTTGTTTTCTTTTCAGTTCCGATCAAGTTCTGCAAACACCTTTTCGAGGTTGGCTGATGGCAATTGTGAGTTGCTGAACTGATAATGTTATAGCATAATCTAATCTAATGATAAGCCTATGATTACTCATAGAAAAGAAGATCTGCCTTTACTTTAAGGTTTTTAGAAGTCAATGCTTAAAATTACCTTAGAAATTCATTTCAGGTCATGGCCCTTCTGAGTGGTTTTGCTGGAGTCTACACTGAGGTATATCTTGTCCTATATATGAAACTATAATCTTTGCCAAAAAAGAAAGAAAAAAATCCTTAAATGTTTTGAGTTTCTCGGCCAATATTGTTCCTTTCAAATCATCTTATTTTTAAGCTAATGAATACTATTATTAGAATTCTCATTAGGATCTGTTTTAAAAAAGTGTTATAATAGAGAGGACTCAGTTTACAGTTTTTTGATAACTGGTAAGTTTCTTCTGTTCTGTAGGCTATCGTTAAAAAGCGACCTTCGAGGAATATTAATGTGCAGAACTTTTGGTTGTACGTATTTGGGATGGCTTTCAATGCTATCGCTATACTGGTTCAAGATTTTGATGCAGTCATGAACAAGTAAATTGAAACTACTTTTTGCCTCTTTTATTTCTCTTATTTATGTCAATGATACAGGATGTTCATTGTACAAAATTTCATTCATTTCTCATTACATCGTATGATCAATAGTAGTCAAAACATATAAAATAATTTTTGGATGGGAACTGGAAATCACGAATATAAATTATCAGTTTTTGTCTTTCGAACACTTGAGGAATTTCTCCTTTAAATACAACATAATTTATGGTTTCCAGATACATATTTTTGCAATGTTTTTTCTTTGAAACCTTTAGTAAGATATGCTTAAGTTTGATCATGTAGCTAATGCTTATCACGAAACAGCTTATTAGTCTTTCAGGCAGGTTTCCTTGTAACTTCTTAAGAGAGCAGGCTCAATTTGCAATCAGATATTTCATCTAAATTGTAACATAAAGACCACAGTTTGTTATTCTAGATTAATGATTCTATAATTTTTATACATAACATGTAAGTTAATCTTTTGTTCCACAGGGGATTCTTCCATGGATATTCATTAGTTACAGTTCTCATGATTTCGAACCATGCTCTGAGGTACTCATATCTATTTATTTTGAGCTGGATCGACTTGCCTAACTGGTAGAATATTGAATTATAATCAACTATGAGGCCAAAAGAAAATTGTGACTCTTCTTTGAACAAATATAGGCTTTTTTGCAACTGGTAAGTTTGACTTTGAAACAAGAGAGAAAAACTCAACAATGAAAATTTATTGATTCTATATTCTAACTTGGTTGAATTCCATCACTTATTCATGATTTCGGAAATTATTTGAATCCATTCTCCCTGAGAGTCCAGAAAGATGAAACACCTGATCTTGGATAATTTCAGGTGGGATTGGTGAAGTGGAACATGTGATCAAAAGAATTAAAAATATGGTATTTTACACATGACAGGATTTGGAGCAAAATTAAATAAATTTTAGGCAGAAATTTCAGTGCATGTATCGTAGGTGATTATATTTTATTCACTTATGGTCAACATACTCTTATTCACACAACTACTACCCACTTATTACCTGTACATATTATAGGGCCGCAAAATGCACCGAAGTTTGTAAAATCAGCTCATTTCTTCAAAAAAATTGCACCCAATCTTTATCATGTGGCCTTTGCAAAACCTACTTAGCAAAATAAACAATCCTGGTTTAAGAAATTAGCTTCCGTATGATTTCGGCCATTCCATGGAAGGTCTTGTTCTTTTTACTTTTAATGTCTTCTCTTGAATGGTTCTTATTCTTGGTCATTTGTGTGTGGGACTGTGGGTTATTACTCGTGTATCCATAGTGTTGTGTCTACAGAAGTTACTTGGAATTGATTATAAACCTACTGCTGTTTGGTGCATTGAGCTAAATCCCTACCTTGGTTTCCTCTAAACACGAAAGGCCATCATTCAAAGTTATATGACTGGAGTATGTACTGGGGATGATGAACTGGACAACAATAACTTTGGGCACAATTTGCTGAGTGTTGTTCATTATTTACATATAACATACCCTGCATGTATTATTTCCTAAGTTATGGAAGTATCTACAGTTAATAACTTAATATTGTTTCTTTGAAATTGTGTTGATGCTAAGTGCCCTAAGTTGAATTTTGATTTTCATAACACGTGAATTCAGGTTAATTTATCCCTTTGTTTCTTCTATAATACATTGATATTTTCCTTGACAAAAAGCGTTTGTGAAAAATATTTAACATGTTTATATTTGCTTTTCTTAAAGAGTCCTGTTAACTAATATACTTGATGCCAATGCAGTGGTATTGCAGTATCAATGGTCATGAAGTATGCTGACAACATTGTGAAGGTAAAGACTTATAGCATATATGAATTTATTCCAAGTCTGCGTCAATTTATTAGATTGCACTCCGTGTCGTGATTTGTTACTTCTATGGGTTGGATCAGTGGCCAGTACGAAAGTACCATGAAGTCATCATACGGATCAAATGTCAAAGACATGAATGAAATATTTTTTTAAGTGAGAGGGCGACCAAATGTCAATACAATAAACATATTTGAAGAAATACCCAAAAACCTAACATCTATTCAAAATTGTCCATAACTACATATCCTCCCATGTCGCTGCCACAGCCAAAGGCATCTGGTCTTTATCTTTTTTGCATTATTTTCGTGTGAACAAACCATGCAAGTACCATTAAGCTGCATCACGACAGGGCTAGTAATAGAATAAATTCTTTACAAAGACTTGCAATTTTTCTTGCCAAATTTAGTTTCACCAAACACTTGATGAGAGTTGCAGCTGAATGAGTTGAATAGAAGAAATAAGGAGTGAATTCATTAACAGCTGATTGGTCCAGCTCAATAATTTCTTCCATTCACTGAACTGCCCATAAGTTGACTCATCTCCAGTGAAAAATAGGAGTGTGACAATAACAAAACTTTATTTGCAACAAATCCAGGGTCGGTAAACTGTAGAACTTAGACCAGAAAAATAACAAATGGGAGTAACATTATCAAATAAGCATATTAGGTGTTTCTTCTGACAGTTATTCAACCTTGAATGGATAAAGGAAGGCCTATTTCTGATGTTAAGTCCTGGGTGTCAACTTACCACAAATAAACTTGTGTATACAGTTCGCATTAACTTAGAAATGTTTATATAGTTTGCATTACTATTGCAGGTGTACTCCACTTCAGTTGCAATGCTGCTGACCGCAGTGTTATCTGTTTTTCTCTTTGGATTTTATCTCTCTCTTGCCTTTTTTCTTGGTTCCACGTGAGTACTTGTTAAAATTTCACTTCCAACATTCACACACTAAGTCACGCATGCTTTGGAATATGATTTGCCAATAAAAGAATGAATTCAGAATGTCTGACTAACGTTATTCTGCCTTCACAGTGTTGTTTCTGTTGCAATATATTTACACTCCATCGGGAAGCTCCAGAGATAGTGATCATTTCAGTTTCTCAGCGTTGTTTGAGTTGCCGATGTAAAGGCTGATAATTTTTCTTGCCTTTTTTCTGTTCATTGATTCCGTAGTCTTCATCAATTTATTATAGATAAAAATATCCTAGGGACTTAGCATACAACCTGGTTTGTTTGGCTCTCAACCGTGTTGGTATATTTTTCTTCTTATTGAAAATTCAGCCACGATTTTAAAAAAAAATTGCGTAGTACAAGGAGATGATATAATTGGCAGTTCAAGAGTGCATGTTTTTGAAGCGATCAAGTTAAAATTGAAGTAATCATAAGATGTTGGTTCTATGGAAAGTGTGGATAATCGTAGATATTAGTTGTGGGTTTTATGGAATATGGGGAGGAAGATTGAATTGATACACGTCAATTAACCCAGTCTTAGCATTGATTTAATCATATTTGGTAAATAATCTAGCTTGGTCCTCTTCTTTTATTGAATTTTTGTAGCATAAGCTTAAGCAATCCACTCACCCTGCAAAACATGACAAACATTTTTGTAATGATCTAATTGTTTTTTACATCTCTTGTAAAAGATCTATAAATTTATAAAAACTTAGGACATTCTCTTCTTATAAGCGAGTGATGTTGCAAACTTATGATTTGAATGTATTATAATCTAACAGGCATGTTCTCCTGCACACGGTGGAAAGTTTTATTATGCCCACTCGGAGAGAACTTAATGTTGAGTTCTTCTGCCACATCAGCAAGTGGACGGACTTATTCTGTCCATCGTGAGCAGGAGAACAATTTCATATTATCTAAATGCTTCAAAAGTTTTTAGTTTTGCATTATTATCTATTTCTTTCTGTAAGTTCATTTGTAACTTTTTAAAAGTTATAATATTGGGTTTAGCAATGTGTGTTTAATATTCATAAATTTATTGTTAAAATTAATGTTTTAACTTTGATTTAAAACTTATAAGCTATTTTTAGAAAAAGACGGACAGATGCTATGTTTTTAGCAAATAAATGTGCAATCTGAGTATTGAAATCAGTTATTAATGGTAGTCTAGTCTAGTCGGTGCACCCGCGAAAATTAAGAACGAAAATATTGTCACATTAACGAGGGCGTTCGAGGAAATCTTCCCAAAAAAAATGTTCCGAGATTCTTGCTTCCAACTTTAGACCGTGTCAGCAAACCTCTGATGAACAAATTCTCGCTCTCTCCTCTCTCTCATTTCCAATCCGCAATGCACACTATCAATTACAGAGATTAAAGAATTTTGATTTGCAGAATCTTGTATTCTGATTTACAGTATTATAATTAAAAGATACACATAATTAAAGAGAAAGCTAAAGCCTTTCGATTCTGAACACAACATGAAATTCAGATCTTTATAGCAAAATCCCATTACGATTTTTTGTATGTAATCATTGAAATGGAGAGAATTCTAGTGTTATTTCTTGTAGGGATGATGATTAGTCGTGGGCAAGCCCAAGAACGTAATTCGGCCGGCCAGAGGATCCACACGCTGTTCTCTGTAGAGTGCCATAACTACTTCGATTGGCAGACAGTAGGCCTCATGCACAGCTATCGTAAGGCCCAACAGCCCGGCCCCATTACCCGACTCCTAAGCTGCAAAGAGGAGGAGAAAAGGAGTTACAGGGGCATGCATTTGGCCCCCACATTTGAGGTTCCTTCCATCAGTAGGCACCCCAAGACTGGTGATTGGTACTGTATTAGCATTTTTTGTCTTTTTGGCATTTTGTGAAGACTATTATTTAAATTTGAAGAGGGGTTTCATTTGATCATTTCCGTTTATTCATTATTTAAATAAAGAGGTGGCTTCAATTTTTATTTGTTTTTAATGTGTGGGTTGTGATAGGTATCATGCAATTAACAAACTAGCTGGGATTCTGCATTGGCTAAAACATAGTGAAGATTCAGAAAATGTGGATTGGGTAGTAATTTTAGAAGCAGACATGATCATTCGAGGCCCAATTGTACCGTGGGAACTTGGTGCTGAGAAAGGCAAACCTGTTGCTGCATATCATGGGTAAGACCTGCTATCCTAGGTATTAAGGTCTCTGTATGGATTTATTTAGCAGGGACCAAGGTTAGAATTTGATAGAATTGGTAGATTTTCATGCATTATGGAATATGTGCTTGTTTTCTGAATTTTGTATTGTTCTTCAATCTCACCAGTTGACAGCAGAAGAAAAATTATTGCTTACATCTCAAATGATTTGGCGTCATCTTAAAACTGATGCTGCAATTGGCCGTTCAACTGTTGAATAATTTTTTACTTAATGAATATGTTGGATTGCTTATGTATACGCGTTATTCCACTTTCATCAATTTCTGAAAATGAAAAGGGAACTCTGTATGTGTGCTATTAAAGATTTACGAAATAATATTTGCATGTTAATTGACAGCAATGCTGATTTATGAGGAGATACTATATCAAAATCTCCATGCACTTCATAAATTAATAAAAACTATGTTTCTTGGTCAGATACTTGGTTGGATGTGACAATGTTCTTGCTAAATTGCACACAAAGCACCCTGGATTCTGTGACAAGGTCGGTGGGCTTTTAGCCATGCATATTGATGATCTTCGAGCATTAGCTCCCTTATGGCTCTCGAAAACAGAAGACGTGCAAGAAGATAGAGCTCATTTATCTGCAAATCATACTGGTGACATATATGGAACGAGTTGGATCAGTGAAATGTGTGGATATTCATTTGGAGTGTCCGAGGTAAATTTTATCATTTATTTTTCTTTATCTTATACATGTATATATAGTGCGTGCTTATTGGACAAGACTGGATAGTATAATAAACAAGATTTTAGCTTCTTTTTCTTTTTTATACCGTCGAGTACTATCCATTCATCTCTATCAAACACGCCAATATTGTGGTTAATATACACGATTATGAATCAGTGATTTGCTTTATCAGGTGGGACTCTGCCACAAGATAAATGATAGCCTGATGATTTACCCTGGTTATATTCCCCAGGAAGGCATTAATCCCATTCTTTTGCACTATGGCCAGCCGTTTAGGGTTGGAAAGTGGTCGTTCAGTAAATTAGATCACCATGAAGACAATATTGTGTATAATTGTGGGCATCTCTTTCCTGAACCTCCTTATCCTAGAGAGGTAAATGAAGTGCTTGTTGAAATGAATGAATTGAGTTTTAGAATGGCTTCAGTCGATATACCTCATTTCCCCTAAAGTATATATCATTTGTACAACCTTGCACTCTGATCTCTCACCCCAATTGGTAGTAATAACTTTTAGTACATTATTTTGCAGGTAAAAGAAATGGAAGCTGATTCGAACAAAAGGCGGGCATTATTACTTAGCATAGAATGTATAAATACTCTGAATGAAGGCCTATTGTTACAACATGCAGCACATGGTTGCCCTAATCCCAAGTGGTCGAAATTCTTGAGTTTCTTTAGGAGCAAAACATTTGTGGAAGTAACTCAGCCCAAATTATGGACTCCTGGAAGTCGTCAAATCATGGAAGTTAATGTCCAGTCAGAAGATGATGGTGATCCTGCAAAGTCGCGCCCAAAAATTCATACCATTTTCTCAACAGAGTGCTCCACTTACTATGATTGGCAAACTGTGGGGCTTGTCCACAGTTTCCACCTGAGTGGCCAGCCTGGAAATATCACGAGGCTTCTTAGTTGTACAGAAGAGGACTTGAAGCAATATAAAGGACTTGATATAGCTCCCACCCATTATGTTCCATCCATGAGCCGGCATCCTGTAACTGGTGATTGGTAATGTCATTTGCATTTGCTGAAATTCTTTGTCAACTATATGAAGCTTTGCCTATGTTAATTTGAACGTAAAAGATTTCAAAACTTGTGAATGTCTTTTAAATTGAAAAAGTTGAAAGAGAAAGAGAAAGAGAGAGAAGGGAAAATACAAACAAAAGAAAACCTAGAGCTATTTCCTTTTTTCCGTTTTGAATGTCATTTAATTAAACCACTCTCTCTGAACCAATTGAATTACTTTTGCTAATAATGAATTTATTGCGCAGTAGGCAGGACACCGCAATATAATCAACAAGATTTTAAATTCTTTTTCTTCATTAAAAGTATCCAATAGTATCCAATCCTCCCTATCAAAAGTGCTTTTGAAGACCAATGAGCATCTTAGCAGATAGTAACACTTGGGTTTCATTTGTGGCACATCAGGTATCCTGCAATACATAAACCAGCTGGAGTTGCACATTGGCTGGATCGTGCAAAGATTGATGCTGATTACATAGTAATCCTTGAATCTGACATGATAATGAGAGGATCAATTACACCATGGGAGTTCAATGCAGCTCCTGGCAGGCCTGTTGCAACTCCTTATGAGTAAGAATGAATTTTTGGTTTTATCCCTTCAATTCCATATAGAAGTTCCTGTCGATTTACGTGTTCCAAATCTGTGGGTGCTTTTTTTATGGGACGTCCCTAAAGTACCATGAGTAAGCCACTCAGTTTCTTTCATATGCTATGTCAGCTACCTGATTGGCTGTGACAACGAGCTAGCAAAAATCCATACCCGTAATCCCAATGCTTGCAACAAGGTTGGAGGAGTGATTATAATGCATATAAGCGACCTCAGGAAATTGGCTTTACTTTGGCTCCACAAAACTGAAGAGCTCCGGGCTGATAGAGCTCATTGGTCAAAAAACATAACTGGGGACGTTTATGAATCTGGTTGGATTAGCGAGATGTATGGTTACTGCTTTGGTGCAGCAGAGGTATTTCAGCTCTTTATTGATTATTAGAAAACTTTAAACCATTTAGCATAAGGAAGATTAGCAGAGGTATAATGCAAGATGTTGATAATATATTTTTTTACAATAACTTGCAACTTATATTAGTATTGTCAATTGCAGTTGAGTTTGCGGCATGTCATAAGCAATGAGATCTTAATATACCCAGGATCTGATCCTGTACCTGGTGTCAAGTACAGAGTATTTCACTATGGCTTGGAATTTAGGGTTGGTGAATGGAGCTTCGATAAAGCGAGATGGAGACACGTGGATTTGGTTAATAAATGCTGGGCTAAGTTTCTTGACCCTCCTGATCCATCGACCCTTCATCAGTCTGACGAGGGTGCGTTACAGCGTGACTTGCTCAGCATAGAGTGTGCAAAAAAATTAAATGAAGCTCTACACGTACACCATGAGAGAAAGAAATGCCCGAATCTTACTTCCTTGTCCAGTCCTAACCCCAAGATCCCGGTTTCCTCTTTGTTACACTCTCCAAATCGTGAGACACATGATCCCCATTCCTTGCAACCTCCAAATCGAGAGACCACTAGTGAAATTACAACTTCGCGGAAATTAGGAAAGTTTGATGAAGCGTCGAGACATTATTCCAAGCCAGAGAATGAATCTCAGGATTTATTGCTACTTTCAGTTACCAATCAAACATTCACTTCTGTGAGATTTTGGATCATTGTGCTTTGGGCAGTTGCAGTCTTTGGTTTTGTGGCATTGATGTCAGCAATGCTATCCAGTCGTAAAGGGCAGAAAAGAAGAGGTAGAAGTTTTAAGACAAAGAGAAGAACCACGTACTCAGGTTTTTGGCACGTGAATGGGCATGATCAACATCTCCGTAATGCTGAAATGTCCTAGAGAGGGGAACGAAATGGCATCTGGCGATGAGAGCCTGATATATTGCGCATACAGTTGTGAAGAAAAGAAGGTCATACCAGGGAGTGATCCAATGGATGCATCGTCGAGTTGAAATGTGTCAATACTCTAGATGTGGCTCAATCCGCTCGGTTAGTTCTTGAATTACTGGATGGTTTCATATTGCAGCGTAATTTGGATCACAATTTGGAAGTATCTACTGATTAACCACAGTTTTGGTGATGTTAGATCAAGTACTCCGGGATTATACTTGACGTGGGATTGAATTAATTGTGAGAAAACAGGATAAGCAATAAATGTTCATGGGTTCTTCTTTTCGTGGCTTCTGTGATTTGTTTTGTTATTTTCTTTTACTCTTCCTGTAATGCAAACCCATTTGTGGTCATTTGATATTTTCTTTCCAAAACAAATTTTGTTTAATCTAAGAAAACCTCGGTACAAAATTATGTTGTAAGAGCGGGTGAATCCCATAATCAAGATCACGATGTTGTCACGTAGGTTACATTGTTTCAAAAAAAGTCTACGTCCTTCATTCCACAATCTATAACTTATAATCTCCTTAAGATGGATTTATATATGTTATTTTTTTTTACATTTAAATGTATGAAAACAGTTTAGAGTATATCCAAGACTCTTTATTTTGAAAGAGCATATTCTACCATTTAGAGAGCAAAAATGTTTAAGTACTTTAACGTGCTATTTATATTTAACATTTAATTTTACTACTCCCAAAAAATATTTATTGCTTTTCTCTGTCTTATATTATATTATTTTCTTCCAAATTTCTAGAGTCAAGCTCACTTTTGAAATTAAAATGTTAATTTTGAGAGTCTCTTAAAGTATAATTTTAAGAATTGACTCTTTAAAATAGAAAGTATTTTAAAGAGTCTCTTAGAGATTTTCTGAAATACTTATTTGCTACATAATGAAAAGGTCGAGAATTCATTTGTCATAACCACGTCAATATAATTTATATGGAATCTTAGACGGGCCCATGTATTATGCCTTCTTTGAAGGGATAAGCTCCTTGTAGATGGGCAGCCAGCACAGAGGGCCATGATTTTTTGAAAACTGATATAGCAACAACAAGTGGTTCAGCCCGTTACATCCTTAACCTCCGAGAGCGACCTCAACCAACATTCTTTTGAGCAATATGCGCTTTATACACAATCACAGCATAAACCCGCTTTTAGTTTCTCTTTGGACCTGTTTGTTTAGCATTAAAGGGCTGGAAAGTAGAAAAAAAAGCACCGTTAGTAGCGATGTCAACGAGCAGAGTCGAGCCCGATAAAAAAAAAATGGGGCTCGGCCTGAGCCTAAGCTTCCGTGCCGTTCGAGTCTCCGAGCTTTTTTGCCACCGCTAATCGTCAGTTTCAAATGTGGATCCCAGCTGTGAGATAAATGGACAAAAATGGTGGCTGCATTTGAATTGCAACAGTTGGAATTTTTCTGCATCTGAAGAATTAATTCTAAACAAACAAACAGGGGCTAAAATTTAAAATTCAACGTTACACACAGTTGATATGGTCAATGAAATCCTAATTCACATAAATAAATCCGGGCTTTGCTATTTGTACATGGGAGTTGACATTCCCGTGTACAAATAGCATTTTCCAATAATTCCAGAAAAGTCGAACGTTACAGTTCTTGATTAATTAAGACGTGGGACCCATCCCAATCTGCAAAAAGAGTAAAAAAGTTTCTCAATGTATGGCCTACTCTTAACGTTTGCCTATTGCCTTTCCATTTGAATTTCAAATTTAAGGCTGATACAAAAGTTGTCCTGTTTGTGTCATTAAAAAAAAAACAGCAGACCAATGTTCAGATTTTTCTGGGATATGTAATTTTCAATTGTAGCTGTGTTGTGGGCTTCTCATTCTACAATGGGAGACTCGGCTTGTCTTATGCATGGCTTCTCTTATGCCTCTGCCATACCCAATGAAGACAAACAGGTATGATACAAATCCCACTTCATTTTTTTTTCAAATCTTCAAGCCTGAAATTCAACTTGCAAATAATTACTTATTTTTCATAAACTGACTTATTTTTCGATGCAAACTGATGTTTTAAGTTTCTTGTTCTTGAATGATGACAAATTCTGCTGGTAGTAATGGATTGAAAAATGCTGGGCTTCTTGGTTAAAGAGGCCAATTTTCTTTAAGTTGTATGTTTAAAAGATTAAGTTCATCGATTAGATGGGCTATGAATTACAGGGGAACCCAATGCACGCTCTTGGGGAGTCAATTTCATTTGGGAGGTTTACGTCGGAATCTTTGTCTTGGGAAAAATGGTCCTCCTTTTCATCCCACAAGCGTTACGTAGAAGAGGCCGAGAGATATGCGCAGCCGGGATCAGTTGCGCAGAAGAAGGCTTTCTTCGAAGCTCATTACAAGAGAATTGCTGCTCAAAAAGCAGCAGCAGCATTGGTTGATCAAGAAAATGCTGCCAACAACGTTGAAACTAAAGTTAGCGGAGATCATGCTAATGATTTGCAAGAACAAGGGGACGAGTTAAAGAAGCGGATTGGAAAGGAAGATTTAGGACTCTATGCTGGTAATCATGGTGCAATTGCTGAATCAAACGAAGTGGAAACTGGGAAAGATGTTGTAAATGGTGTAACTGAGGCCTCGGGGGAGATTCTGATGAGGAAAAATTCATCTAACGAGATACATAATTTTGTGAATCAAGAACCAGCATCTGGATCAGAGACTAGTGGTGGAACACCACAGATGGAGAAACCTCTATTGAAGGTAGTGGTTTCCTATCTAATATTGTGCACTGAACATATCTAGAATGTCTTAGTTTAATGTTCTCAAACTGATAGTTTTGAGTTCACTCATCAGAATTCCGTCCAAACCGACTATAATCCATCTGTGACAAGCAAGAAAAGATCAGCTCTTTCCTCATTCAAGTCATCTATTCACCATAAAACGTCTAAAGTTCCATTTACACCTGCCAAGCCAATTACTCCTCATTTCAAGAAAGAACACAATGTCACAAGGAAGTCTAATGTAGACTCCATGGACAAAAAGAAGTCCTCTCAGAAATCTCTGCGCACGTTGATTAATATGGTTCCTGCTAAAGAACCAGATAAAGTACCTATTCCTTCGAACGAAAGAACTGAAAGTTCAGGCGTTCCTCCAGTTTCGTCCAAGACACGAAAAGATTGTGCGACTCCTCTGAAGACTCCAATTGGGGTACCTCTCAATTTACTCTGGCTTGGTTGCACCAGATTTTTCTTTCTTCAGGCTGTTTGAGTAGAAAACTAAATTCTTGCTATCTTCTGCAGGTTGCTAAATATAAGGTGTCAAAATATATAGCAGCAACGCCTAGATCAGAAGATAGAAGGTACAAGAAATTAATTAAGATCATACTGTCATCTGTTGACGAGTAAAAACTAAATTGACAACGTCTACGATCTTCAGGAACAAAGCATCAATTGATCCCTCAGCTTTAGGAAGCAAAACAAGCGGCCCCAAATGGCACATTTTATCAGCAGTGTAAGTTCAAATGACAAGCAAATCTCTAGTTATTAGTTGATTTTTAGAACTTGAGTATGAAATAAGAAGATATTGAGATACTGGTTCTTGGTTCCACTTTATACAAATTCTATACATCTCTCTCTCTCTCTCTCTCGAAATTGTAGTACTTGTTCAATGCAGAATATTGGATCTTAACTTCTGACCTCAGAAATGCAATAGACTGATCTAGTTCTGATAACTAAAAGAAACTGTGGTTGTTTGTATTAGGCCCCTCTAATACTGACATATGTGACCGTGAGAGGATTTTTCTCTCAATGTATCACAGTAAATTTGTGTGTTTGCTTTGCATATTTCTCATTTCTGCATTTTTTTTTTTGCTCTTGAAATTTTAAATCATTACACTTAGTTCTGAAAACAATTGTATTTTAGTTGCCCCAAGTCATTGACGGCCTGCCGGAACAAATTACAATCACCAACTTTATCCACTCCATTTAGTCTGAGAACTGAAGAAAGAGCTGCCAGAAGAAAACAGGCAAGGGTGCTCGTTTTCTAGTCTCATTCTTGAACGTATTTTACGACTTTCACTGTGTGCTCATTTTCTTTTTTTCCAACAATTTCAGAAACTCGAGGAGAAATTCAATGATAAGGAGGCGCCAAAGGTGCAACTACAAACAAAACTAAGGGTTATACTCTTGATGCCAGCTTCTTTTTTTTCGCTATGTGTTCTAATCTAGTCCACGATCGATCACTGTTGTATGATTGAAGAGCCTTTTTATACGTGCAGGAAAAAGCAGGAAATGAATTTAGAAAATTGAGTCAAAGCTTTTGCTTCAAAGCTCGCCCGCTACCTGATTTTTACAAGGAACGAGAAATACCAAAAAATCAGATGAAAAAGGTACCTTCATCCTGTTAAACTTAAGAGATGTTTAGACTCACTGACTTGATTCCATTGCTGCAGAGTTCAGTAACACAGCCAGAGTCAACGAGAAAAACCTATTCAGGCAAGAAGCTAGGCAATGTCTCAATGCCACCACCTCCTCCCCCTCCAACATTTTTGACTAAGAAGAATGGTACTTCCAAGAATGTATCGAAAAAGAAAATTGTAACCCCAGCCGATGTACTCACATCACAACCAGAAAGGATCAATCATGAGAACAAAAGCCCAAATATTCAGCAATGATGAAAACATGCGCATATTTCTTTTTATCTTCCAGGGGAATCCTGCAAATTAGGCATTGTCGTTCGTGGAGGAGCTCGTCCCGCTCGGAAGAGCGAGTAATTCTATCATTTGGTGTAAGCAAAGATTGTTTCTACATGTTTCTTTGTACACAAATTTATGTAAAAAAATTAATGCCTATATGTTGATGAACTAATATTTTCTTCACGAAGCGTGCCTGAATATATTGCACAAACATGATTAGGCACTACATTAGACAAAATTACTTCTAATAGAAGATTATTTAATTCTTGTGATAAAAGAAATCATTTCATACATCAACGAACTCATTCAAGAAAGTAGAAATATAATCAATAATTTAATAATTATTTTGCTAAACAACATTTCTTACATAACCAAATAAACAGGATTAGTTGACTTAGAATACAATTCATCAGACATCAAATGAATCACATTTCTTCCACCAGGCACCAACTCTCATCTCCATCCAACGGTTCCAATACAAATCCCACTTCACAGAAACTCATTTGATCATCATTATTATCATATTCATCTATCTCTTCATGATTAGCATCAGATGATCCATCAAGAACACCATCAACATGATCATCTATATCACAATCATCATCCATATAAGGATAAGCCAACTGATCCAAAATGTCAGAGGCGGAAGAGCCCGAAAACTTGAATCCTGGTTTAGCATCCACGAACCGCCAAGTGATCAATCTGAGCTTTTGGGCACCCTTGGCCTTGTCCTTTGCCTTACAAGCTGGGTGAATGTGGCACCCGTTGCATCGGGGTCGCCCGCACTTGCTCGTAAACTTGGAGTGGTTTGTGGGCTTGGATGAGACCTTGGTGAACATGCCGGCGGTTGGTGGTGAGCCAAGCTTGTTAACATTCCTAGCCACGGGTCTTAAAGGTGGTGGTAGGATTGCGGTGGTCCGGACCATGCCATGCTGGCGACCCTCTCTCTTCATCTCTGGTTGCGTGCTTGTGAGCTTAATGGAAATGGTAGTGTTTATGAATGTAGGTTTAAATAGAGAGATTCTTGAAAACTTGGGTAGCAAGGAGGTTGATTGGTCAACTTTCATCCATTGGTCGCGTGTTGTTCAAGCAAGGGCTTGTTTGGGTGTGCTTAAAAATAAGTAAAATCCCATTTTTTCGTTAAGCTAACATGTTTGAGAATTCACTTACGTATAAGCAAAATCAATGGGACAAGGCGTGTTTTGAAATTGTTTATAAATTATAAATAAATAGAAATGAGCAATTGATAAATTAATAATACTCATAAATCTCATGAAATGTATAATAAAAAGTTGGTTTAATCGATTATAGCTAGTGTCAACCGACCACTAAAGTCTTTCTATACAATTTTCAAGATGGGCCGGTAATATACGAGCGTATTATAATAAATTTGTTGAAATTGAAAAAAGACAATTGACACAAAACATCTCTACCATTTGCCTCCATTAAGGAAATCATTCCCATTCTTTGTGCAAATGGCACATGACATAAATTACAAAGGATAAAAGTGTCGATCCACTTAATTCTTATTATTTAATTTTAATCTAAACAATATAAATACACAGGGGACAGTTCTCACATTATGTACACCCTTATGTGTATTGCTATGTACACATAGCAATATTCATTCCAAAATGTTCATCTTCTCCCAGCCCCAAACCCAACCCAACCCAACCCCTTACCCAAATTCCTCAAAATGTGTATTTTACGACAAAAGCACTTCTACAGAAATTGGGTGTTCCAGAGCCGTGTCATTCACTATACGTGATCTGGATGTGGGTGAGGATCAGAGGTTTCAAGTAGTGATGCCTTGTCTTCTGCATTTGTAGTGGGAGAAACCGCCATATTCTTGGAACGATACAGCACAAAATGCTGTAACATAAAGAAAATGTCGAAGAAGAGAGACACCTGCAAAATTCATTCAATCAAAACCAGATAAAAGAGGGGCGGCGTTGTTGCTGTGTTAGTCCACACAAAATACAATAGGATTAAATGGCAATGTTCACTGAAAAAATATTTCATGTGCTGGAATTAGAAAGTCAGCCATTAAATGAGAATTCTTCAGGAAAGCAGCCAATGAAAAATGAATTAATCATAAATCCCAGTTCAGAACTCTCAGAACGTCAAAAAAAATTCGGAAATATTGCCGCACATTGACTAATTGAGCAGAAAATACACTTGTAACCACTGTAGGCGAAGAATGTGTTGAAAAGAAAACCAACCCGGAATTTCAGAAAAATAAAGATAAAAGTGTTTTGGAGTGAAAACATTTCAGTAAGAAGCTGGGCTTCAGTATCTAAGAGTTCCTATGTATTAGAACCTATTGTATTTCTGTCCTCAAGCCTTGGATAGCCATGTGTATTTCTTCAAATACCACCGATTTCCCAACCTTTTCAACCTGACAACGAAGTTCAACCACCTTCACTTACAAACTCTTATTCATCTGCTGCAAAAACAAATATATTTGGGCCGTCCATTATAGAGGAGTACTTCCCACACTCGCCAAATATTCTCTCTCAATGGTTCTATCAACTTTTATTTGACTCACAATTTCCATTCGTTGCAATTCACATTTTCTTGATTAATGGTGGTCAAAAGATATTCATGGAGACGACTTCAGGTTGGGTTCTGATTTCTCTCTTTTGGGATTTCTCAAAACAAAACTCTGCAACCATTTAACAGAACTGCACAAAACGAGAATGAATAAGGAAGATCAATTGTATAGTAAGCATGACCTATCCATTTTTCGAAAGGGACAAATAAAATCAAAATTTTTACAAGAGTAAGGCAAGTTGGTTAATAAAAGAATTTGAATCTGATCTCCTGGAAACTTATCTTTATGACAAAAGAGGCTATTTATAAGCCAGATAATAGAATCAACTAACATGAAATTAAACAAGAACATATGACAAGTACACAGAATGAGTAAAATTGATAGGGAAGCTTTCCATACCAAAGATAACATAATTTTGCCCATATTGCCATAAAAGTTCACCCAGGACCCTGAGAAAAGAAAGAAATAAGTGAACGTGAGATATAGCTTCGGATATCTTTCTCCCCGGAGGAATATCCATTTATTTGATTTTGGGAAGTATACCCATGCATTTGATTACATTAACTCACTTTGATCTATGGATTCCACAGTCATCTGACAAAAACTTGTTGTGCTTCCCACAAAATCAAGCAAAACATAGCCAATGCTAAATCCAATTGTGCTTTTACGTTGAAAGTTAAAAAAGGCCTATAGTTAACAGCAGAAAATATGTTAGACCATACTTAAAATGTAAGAATGAAGACCAGTATATATGAAATATAAATATTAAGTTCCACTGCAATAGAAATTTAGAGGACATGAAAGAGGTCGGAAAATCCTGACTAGAATTATATCCAAGTGAAAATACTAAGACAAGTTTTCGTACTAGCCTGAGGAATGTACTTGATGGTTGTCATAACAACCTGCAGTGTACTGAATCACAGATGAGAAGCAAGAAGTTAAAAAGAGACTAAGGACAATGAAGTCTAGTTGAAAACTCTCAATACATGTTTGGTACGTTGGTCAGAACTGCATTAAACAGGATTAAGGAAATATGCAGTATTATCTTATACCAATGCCAAACATGTCCTCATTGTACTTGTTTGTATTAGAGGCAGCTTACTTGAAGCAGGAGACGAGCCAAAGCCAGGAATGGCTAGGCATAGCAGCAAATACACAAACTGCAGCTGAAAACAAGGTTGTCGAAACAATTGCAATAGTAGCCTTTGACACCTTCTGATTTCCACGCTGTAATAATGAATTAACACAAACACCGTATAAAAATATTACAAAAATTTTAGTCTCCATATATTGTATCCAAAAGATGGCAGTGAACATGGAACAAATATAACACACTTTTAACCTGCGTCCCATAAATTGTACTGATATCAAACAGAGAGCAGTTTCTAATCCAAGCCAAAATCCAATGATTCACCATCTAAACCGTGTTTGAAAACACCAAAGCAAAATTTTACCACTTACATCATAAATGGCTATTTGAAACAAGGTTAAAGCAGTCAACAAAACAGCATGAATTGAGAAAGCTACATCATTGGCAGCCACAGGTATCATCTGCATAAAACAATCACAAAAAGAAAAAATTAAAACAAACACCAGCAATCAAAACCGCAGAGTGCCAGCCAAAAAACGAAGAAGAAATAAAACCTAGGCTCAGTAATTAAATCTGGTGAATGAAGTACCTGGTCAAAGCCATATTTCTGGCGGTACTGTCTCTGCAAGGTGGAGCTAAAGAAGAGAGAGGCGTTGTAAACCAGATAACAAGTGTGTTTAGTCAAATTCAACACCGCAAAATCAAAATTCAGCCCCACTACACTGCCAAAATAATTAGTATTACTTCAAAGCTATATATAAACACAGATGTATACTATTTAGGATGAAATACAAATTGGGAGGACGCCAAAACCTTTTCCTTCTGAAATTTAAGATGACTTGTGGATAGAAACAAATTGCCCATGCGCAAAAAGCAATCCATCCCAAAACGTAGTATAGTACTTCCATATAACTTGAATTCCAAGACGCCATTTCATCTTATGATAAATTGGGAAAGTGCATACTGCAACACAATAAATGCGTTGTCAAAAGAATAATTTCAATTAGAAAATAGGAATGATTGTGATTCTATTGAATTGCGATGAAGAGGATATGATCAAAGAGTCCAAACAAGCTAATCAAATGTAAGGCTGGTGGGACCCACATGAAGTTTGTGCATATGCGGCGACCCGGCATGTCATTCAATTCAATTCATGCGAAAAGTCCGTGTGAATATTTTGTATAGCCTGAATTTATGAGAAAATTGAGGATGTGTTTGATTTCATTTTTTTTTTTATGGAAAATGTCAATTTTTCACTCAAATTCTTATTTTGGAGTGTTTGATTACTATATTTTTTTAATTGAAATATTTCTAACTTATGAAAATTAACCTTGTTTTCAAAGAAAATATTTTCTTAGGAGAGTATATTTTTGTTTTCCTCAAAATAAGGAAGACATTTTCTTTTCTAGGAAATTTTTAATACCAATCAAACACCTTCTAATTGAAATCGCGATTCACTGTAATTTCCGCATTGGCAAGGTGATCGAAAAGGAGATTGTTGAAAATATGTTGAGAATGTCAAAAAATAAAAATATATTTATCCCGAATCAATTAACAGAACCATAAAGCTCAGTCAATTTATTTCAAAAAATAACAGATTATTTCCCACACAATACTAAAATTCAGGCAGTGATAAAAAAAATAAATATATATAATTCGTGCAGAAATCTAGATTTGTATCTGCCCAGAAACTTAAAAACTAGTGAGCTCAAGTTTCTTGATGTTCTGGATTTGCATTCCAGGATTCAGTCCCTTTGGGCAAGCTTTAGCACAATTCAAAATGGTATGGCACCGATATAACTTGAACTCATCATTTACTGCCTCAAGGCGCTCCTTGGTGTATTCATCACGGCTATCCATTATCCATCTGCATCAAACAGTCAAAACCACAGTTATCGGCATTAACATGTTGCAAACTGAATCTATTGAGGAAACCATGACGAGTGATGAATCAGATCAGTACAATTAAATGAAGTTACGATTATGCTTTATAAACTTTCAAGCTCGCTGCATACGCAGTTCATCATTCACTTTCAATTGAATCTCACCAAAACTGTCAAATCAGAACATTGATAGAGTACTGGCTTGATTTCCAGAGATTATATGGTTCAAAGAAGCTACCTCCAGAATGAATTGAGCTCGACATTGAGCATTCCTCATCATTTTGGGACACATAACATATGTTAGCAACTCTACAATCATTTTAAGTAGAATGCTGGAACAAAGAAGCCACCTAGAGAATGAATTTAATGAGAGCTCGACTTTGAGCATTCCTCATCATTTTGGGACACATAACAAATGTTAGCAACTGCACAATCATTATAAGTGGAATGCCTGGAACTTTACCTCAAGGTGACATGCAGATACAAATATGGATAGGATTTAACTTTATTCATGTGGGCTCCATTAAGCACAGGGCATGGAGATTGTCATTCTAATGTTTGTGAAGAAAAATCTCTGCTTGAACTTGTCACAGACTTTCCATACCAGCTTATAATTATTAGAACTAAACATATTCCAAACATGATAATAACCCTCTATAAGGAACTATATCATTTTATGGCATAATTTCTATTTTTGAGAAGTATATGCTTGTCAAACAACTGCAGAATGACCATAAGACTTATGACTGTTAGAAACTCCTAGTTATTGTTCCAAATCTACAAATGTAGACAAGAAAATTGAATCCCTTGTTGAAAAGAAGGGAAATACGATCACCACTAATTGATGCTGTGGTCAGGTTCAGAATTAGAGGGAGAGAACACGCAAGAAAATCAAAAACAAAAGAAGGGAGGGGGGGAATCGCCTACATTAGTTTTTTTCATCCCCCTCAGACCACGACTCTTATAGCGAGATTTGCCAAAAAATAGTGTTTGTCGGTCCAACTCTCATTCTCATTCAGTCGAACACAAAATGATAGATATGAATGTTTTCTTTAACAATTCTTCTCATTCGTACGATTCTCAATTAAGTTCATGGCAACCATGAAAGATGTAAATGTTTCTTTGGTAAAATTCTACTGTTTCAGAGGTTTCTTCCTAACAATACCAATATGCAATTTTTCAAAATGCCAAGGAACTATGGCAAGCATTAAAGGGCAAACTAACTGATTATAATCAGAAAGAAAGAATTGAGAAAGTCACCAGAAAGGTAATGTTAATGCACATCAAACACAAAAACTTTGAAATACCTTATGTTCAAAAGATAAATGTTTACCATTATGCGTTAAAACAGACTTGCACAAAGCATTAAGAATTGATTTTGGGACAAAACTCTAATCAGTAATCACTCATTATAAATTCATAGTTTCAAGAAAATTGACATATAAGCAGTTCTTTAAAACTCAAAACTTCAATCAAGGTAGCCAACCTATGCACATCTCATTAAATTAAGCAGAAATTAGTATAAAGCTAGAATGGAAAGAAATGATCGGTACCGATTGGCATGCAGTAGGGCAGCAGGGCCGAGATAAGACTCAGGATTCCACCAGTAGCTGGGGCAGGATGTGCTACAGCAGGCGCACAAAATGCACTCGTACATCCCATCGAGTTTCTTTCTATCCTCCTTACTCTGCAGAATCTCTTTCCCGGCATTTTCTGGCGGGTTTTTCCTCTTCAGCCACGGCTCAATAGACTTATATTGGTTATAAAAATTAGTCATATCCACGACAAGATCCTTGATCACAAACATATGGGGCAGGGGAGTAATCATAGATGCCCCACCAGATGGGATCTTGGTCAAACAGGCTAGCCCATTCCGGCCGTCGATGTTCATAGCGCACGAACCGCAGATTCCCTCACGGCAAGATCGCCGGAATGTCAATGTAGGATCGACCTCATTCTTGATCTTGATTAGGGCATCCAAGACCATTGGGCCACACTCCTTGAGGTCAACCTCGTAGTTTTGCAGCTCCGGCTTCTGAGGACTGTCCGGGTTCCATCTGTAGATTTGGAAGGTCTTGATGTAGCTGGTGGACTTTGAACTAGGCTCCACTAATTGGGCCTTGGCCTCCGACGAGTGGATCCGATTTAGGATTACCCTCGCCGCCGGCACCGAAGCCGGAACCCTAGTTATTGCCCGTCTGAGCAACCCTGTCGCCATTTATCGGTTAATGCTTTTCAGAGACTGAAAGCCAGAGACCAAAATGAAAATGGAGCCTGTACAACAAAAATGGGTGTGCGACTTGAGGGAAAAGGATTTGGCGGAACATATGGAGATTCGGGATAGTTGATGGAGAAGAGTTCGTTTGGGAAATGCTACCTAGAGTTGCTCGTTACCACAGTCGTCCAAGTGGTATACGTAGTGCAGTTAATAATTCAATGGATTGGATGAGTGGGGAGACCGAATAACCGGAAATAAAATAATATTTTTTATCACAACAATAATTTTTTATTTGTCCAAGTTGTATACCTAGAGTTGAATCTTAGAGCCTGTTTGGTACAGATTCTCATTTTCTACAGTAAATCAATTCTCATTTTCAACCACACATTCTTCAATAAAATAATATTTTTCATCACATCAATACTTTTTCTTCTTTTTCAACCACACATTTCCCATCATATCACTATTCAAAAATCAATTCTTCCCCCAAAAATCCCTACCAAACACACTCTATATTTGGACTAGTTGGAAAAGCAACAACCATA